AAATGTCAATAGTTGCATATTTTACATTAAGAAACGCTTGTAAGAAGAACAAAGACTGCGAAGACCTATGAGACAAGGTGTGTGGGAATGAAAAAGAAGACAATGCTTGGTAGAATATATCAGTCACAATCCTTTTGAAATCGCTGTAAAAGCACGAGAAGAAACATTAATCACAGGATCTCTCAGAACAGCTCAAACGCATTAAAACAAGCTGGCTTAAAAATTGCGCTGCTGTCGGTAAAATTTTTTAATCTGCAAAAAATAAATAAATAAATGCATTTTTAATTCTCGGGAAAAAAATTTAGAACATCGTGGTATTCTCCGATAAAAAGACGTTCTAATCTTCTGACAGCGAAAGGCTGCCAGTTTATCGTCCTAGAAACTCAATATTCGAAGAGACTTAGGTAGACGTTGGGTAATATTAATAGTAGGCGCTGTACCGTCAATGTTTGGAAATGGATAATCCTGGAAGGTCCAGGCAAATTGATGTAGTTGAGCATTAAATAAACATCTTAGACAACATGATGTTACTATCAATTAAGAAAGGTTTTTTCGGACAATAAAAAAGCTACATCATAATTTATTAAATGCAACTTTTTGGTTTTTTAAAATATCTCAAAAACACAAAGAATAGAATCGCGTAAACGGTTTTAAGTTGCAAATATATTCGTATAAAATTTTTTCCATTTAACAGTTTCTCTGTATTCTATATTTTTCAAGGATACATGTAGGCCCAATTTGTTAAATTCCTATATTTTTTTCGTCCTGTATTGTCGGCGTCGATAAGTAATTGCCTAAGGGTTGTGTCATCAATGGTAGAGGGATTTCAAAAATTAATGAAATTGTGATATATATTTTGGAAAGATTGTCAGAGGGCTTTAGAATTGTCAGTTGGGAAATTAAAAAAAAAGTTAAAATAGATATTAAATTTGAAAATTTTATATCGTGGAGATAAAATAAAAAAAAGAAAGATGAAAAACATTTATTTAAATTAAAGATAAATGCGAATCAAATAGCAAGGAGAAAGGAGTAAGAGGAGAACAGGCGGATAAAGCAGAAGAACCGGGAGAAAGAAGAAAAACCGGGAGAAAGAAAAAAGAAGAGAAGCGGTAGATTATATATTTTTTTTTAATTAAAAATTTATGATAAGTTTTTTTGAAATTTTTGTAAGAAGCTAAAGGAGCCACAACCCTAAAAGATTTAGGATATTGAAATGGTTTAACCTTTATAATTTATATATGCGCGTATCGGTACTCGTACTCGTTAGGAGACAGCTGTAGGAATCAGAGGTACTGAGTACTCTAAAATGTAAAGTACTCGAAATTTGTTGAGTATGAGTCCCTTTATGATGAAAGTACCTACTTACGAGTACCAATTAAAGAGTACTTTGAGTATCCGAGTACAATTTTAAATACATTTTACTCGAGTATTGCCCAACTCTGATTGTGGCTACTTTCACATTTTATTTATGATATGTCAGAGGTAAACAAGAAGTAAAGACCAGACCTCAGAATATTTTTTTGATGTACCTCTGCTTTAATTTATTCAAGCTTCTTATTTTACTCTGAAGATTCTATTTGTCAAGTAGGATTTTAACATGTCTCAAAATTGCATAGGAAAAAGTTTATTAATTTTATATGTAAGGTCTTCTAAACATTTAATAAAAAATAAAAATGCATCAAGAATCACACTTTTCTATAAACCAGAAAAAAAAGTTTTTCTCTCTTGTGAACTAAATCCGTGGATGAAACAATATTTATTTTTTAAGAATTATTTACATTCATCATATGAAAATATATCGCTGTTTAGAAAATTGAGAATTTGTAGATATAAAATCACGATTCTCTAAAATCATTAAGAATAAAGCGAAAAAAGCGCCATTAGAAAAATGTGTAAAAGATACCGCGTCTGATAAAATACTAAAAACTTTATAATAATAATTCTCCTCTCAAAGATGTTACATAGTCAGTGATAAACCTCTAACATTTTCCAGTTCCAGTACGCCAAAAATGGCGTATTACCTCATTTGTATTTAATTTACAGTAATAGTTTACATTTGCGGTAAAATTTTTCTTCCCACATATCAGTTTATAAATTGCAAAGTAAACTGTGTTGCAAAAGAAATACCTATCGCCATACCGACTGGTTTTCTCGTATTCAGCAGAAAAAGAAAGAAACGTATATTACTAGTACAAAATATTGCTTACGCAATTAAGACCAAATAAATGCACTTTGAAACGCTTGAATATTTAATTTGTTTATTATATATGAATAACTTAAATTATAATTACGTTACTAAATGAGAAATGCATATTGATATTTCTAATAATGGTAATTGAAAATTATACTAATTTGCAAATCCAAATATTTATATCAGAAACTGATTGACTATAAATATAACGTTGTCAATTTTTGAATCTTCCGGGACCGTCTTTACTAACAATCACACTAGTTTAGACGGTTTTCATACCCCAGCTAAAAGTTGTTAATTTATTTATTTAGATAGAAAAAGTCACAAGAACCTGTCGTTTCCTCAGATAGTGAAGTCGATGATAATATTACTTATGATGAAAGTGATGAATATGAAACATTTGAACAGTTTGCAGATAATGAGGAGCAAATCAAAAGAGAAAAACTTTATTGCGACAGACAAGTTTCAGAAAAAGCTGTGGTTGATGGATTCTCGTAAAATTTGCTGGAAAGAAGTCCATTAAATACTATGTCGCTTAAGTCCTGGATGAAAACAACATAGTATTTGCCAGAAAAAAGAAGCTCTTGAACAAAAAATTTGTGTTCAAGTTTCCAGATATTGATGACATTTCCGAGGTCGATGACCGTGACATCACAATGCTGCTGCCTACTTCCGTGATTAAAAGAATAGGCGAAATATCTTTTCAAGTCTCGTTTGATGGTTATGACGTACAATACAATATTTTTCTTCTAATATTTTGTTCATTTAGTCCAAAAAGTCTCCGTACACTACCTGCTTTATATAGAATTTTTCTGTTGCATTTAATTTATTAATTGAAACTACGAGAGAATACGCTCTTTTCAATAACTGAAGCATAAGTAACGATAATAAAGTTATAATTACAATAAATGAACATTTTTATTTAAAAGAAACATCGGCATTATAATTTATGTCAAAAAAGTCTCCGTACACTCATAGTTTTCATTGAAAAAAGCACATTATAATTAGCTGCATTTCATCAAGGCATCTATGGCTCGCCAGCCTAAAAACAAATGAATAGTTATCGGCCATAATTTATTATCTGTCATTTGTTGTTGATAGATTTGCAGTGAAGTTTCAAATTAGCATTAAAAATGAGCGAAAGAAATCGTGAAATTGCAATTCCACTTCGAAAGTTGATAGTTGATTTATGGAAAGAAAAAAAATCCCTTAGAAATATTGGAAAAATTGTTAAGAAGCCGTATACTACCATTCAGTACATTATAAACCAGTATAAATTAACGGGTTCCTACAAGATTCCACCACGTTCTGGTCGTCCCAAGAAACTGACTCCGCGTGAAGAAGAGAGTATTGTTAGGCAAGTAATTATAAATCCCAAGAAAAGTGCACCAAAATTAAAAGAAGAAATACGAGAGCTATTGTCGACAAACGGTGAGAAATTGTATACACAGAGCAGGCTATAAGGGGTGTACTGCCAGAAAGAAGCCGTTAATTTCGGAAGTTAATCGAAAAAAACGTTTAGCTTTTGCTACAGAATACGTCAATAAGTCACCTGAATTTTGGGAATCTCTAATATTTAGTGACGAAACTAAAATTAACCTTTTTGGATCTGATGGTAGATCTAAAGTTTGAAGAAAGAAGAATACCGCCTTTGATATCAAAAACCTTTGTTCCACGGTAAGACACGGGGGTGGCAGTGTTCTGCTATGGGGATGCATGTCCGCTGGAGGTGTTGGAAATTTACATTTTATTAATGGGATCATGGATCAGCATGTCTATATGAACATTTTGTGAGACAATTTAGCAGAAAGTGTGCAGAAATTAACGCTCGAAGGAAAATACATTTTCCAACAGGACAATGATCCAAAGCATACTGCAAACTTGGTGCGAGAATGGATGATATATAACGTGCGACAGCAACTTCACACACCTCCACAATCACCTGATGTTAACCCCATTGCACATTTATGGGACGAACTTAAACGCGTTCGCAAACATAACGTTTCAAGTAACGAAGAATTAAAAAACAGAGTATTGCACGAATGGGAGAACATTCCAGCAGAACTTACTAGAAAGTTGGTTTCAAGTATGACAAGAAGGCTACAAGCGATTATCAAGGCCAAGGGCGGTCCAACTAAATATTAGTTTTTACATTTGTTTCCTATCTATTAAAAGATTATTAGAAACTGTTAAGTGTACGGAGACTTTTTTGGCATTATTTTTGTATAGATGTTTATATTGTTGATCTAATTTTTAAATGATTCGTTTTTGCAATTATTACTAATAATCGTTAAAAGTATGTTTCAATTATTAATAAAAATATGTTCTCATAGAGTTTCGATTAATTAATTGAATACAACATAAAAGTTTGATGTAAAGCAGGTAGTGTATTGAGACTTTTTCGATTATGTATATTACAAATAAACGTAAAGACTATTTGCAGTGCCGTTTGATTTTCCTGTTTGGGTTTATATCTGTGGAGCTAACAAAGATAACCACATTCTGCAAAATCGAAAAAAAAAAGGTAAAATTTTGGGTTAGGTGCAGTTGCCCCAGTTTGTCGCAGTTTATTTTTAGGTTAGTTTTAGCTCTAGGAAACGCACTTGCCAAATTTAGTGGAGCAAGTGCGCCCCTACGACCTTACAAATAAAAATAAAATATTGTATGTTTAATGTGCGTTATTAAATGATAACACCCATTGGGCATTATAATAGATCTGTAAGTGAAAAGTAAATAATAAGATAGAAAAACAGTATGTCCATTTGGCAAAAACTTAAAAGTCAGTAATAAAAAGTGAATAGAACCTTACTCGTAAATGTTTCATTTGTTTTCCAATCCTTACAAGGTCTCTGACAGCTCTGACATTTATGTTAGTGGCTATTCGAAGTTTTTCGTCAAACCTCACTGTGGCAGCAAAGTGAAGTACCACATCTACCTCGGATTTAATAATTTCTAGATCTTCGTCGCTAAGTCCTAGATTTGGTAGGCCGGTATCACCGTTGATGGTATGGACTCGTTCCAGAACGCTGGGATATTTCCTCATCAAAGGTTCGAAGCTCTAGAAACGATAGAAATAATTTCAGAGGGAATCTAAGTTCAAATCATTTGAAATGAAGAAATCAAAGAATTTTTTGGAAAATCAATGAAATTATTGGTCTGCCATGGCAAAAATCGCTGTAATTGCGTTCAAAATATATTTACCATTTACGAGAGTAATAAAAACTATGAATTTTACTAACGAGTGAAGTATTCTTATTTTTAAATATACAAAGAAAACCGTTTAAAAACAATATTTATATTAAAATATGGAATCAATAGATTGCTTTTAGCTAAAATAATAAAGTGATATTTTTCTTATAGACCTAAAACATTAATATAATTCATAAAGGGATTATACAAGTAGCATTAGTCCTAGAGCTGGGAGTAAAAGAAACTGCCTTGTAAAATACCTACCAAATAATAAAAGAAGTAGAATGTAAATGTATACGGTGTGGAACAGCCAAATAGAATAAATTCGGTAACCAATAAATGGGTGCATGTTCAAAAAACTCCCGGACACGTCGATTAGTATTTTAAGTTGCGCAATTTTTTTAATAAAAACTTTTCATACTTTTTATACATGTAATAGTGGCCAATACTAACTTTCTTATTTTAAATGCAACACCCTGTATATTTTTCAATTTTTGAATTCTTCAGAAAATGACATAAATTGTATATGTACTATGTCCTATACCTAACTGTTTCGGAAATATTAAAACCTAGCTGACGTTAGAAGCCATTTTTATTTCAAATTATGATGTTGCCAAGAGGTTCGTGGCGAGCATTTTAAACATATCCTACATTGAGATGTATTTTTACTTCCTTATATAAAAGAGAGAAAGTATTGTAATTGTGAAAAAGTCACCTTCCTATATTTTTTCTGATTTTCACGTTTTAGGGTCCCTAGATTACGAAAAACATGCTTCTCCATTCCGTCGGTCTGTCTGTCTGTTGGCGCGACAGCTCAAAAACAGCTTTATAGAAAAACTTCAAGTTTTGTATGGAGTATAAGGTTCCTTTCCTGCTCGAAACCAGTTATACTTCCAATCAGTTATATACAGGGTGAGCAATTCTTAAAATAAAAATTATTTTTAAAAGTCGACCCACTTAGAGTAAAATTGGTATCTGAAAATTTTAGAAGTCAAAGATAACAGATCCTAAATAAGTTTTAAAAATTCAAAATGGCGTTGAAAGGAATCTAAAAAGGGTCCCCTTGAATGGAAATAATAAAAATTGTCTTTTTGGTTTGTAGAACTAGAGCCATTTTAAAAGCAGCCCATCATTATTGTTCAACAAAATACCGAATGGAGGCGAATTAAGAATTCGGGTAGGATCAAGAGGAAGGTCTATGGAGAGAGAAACGTGAAAAAGTATTTTTGATTTGGTGGTTTTAATTTTAAATTATTAGGAGTTCCCTGTTTTTACAATTTCTATATCGAGGGAAGTTCTGGGTAAAATACTTTACCGATTTTTTTTTGTTATATTATTAAGAAATAAAAACAGTATTACTTATTAGTTTTTGAGTGTGTTGTAACGCATTTCTGTAATCAAATTATTTTATTTTATTATTGTTAATTTTTGCAACAAATCGGAAAACATTTAATATTTCCGAATCAGTTAGGTATAGGACATATTACATAAAATATGCCCAGAATTTTCTGAAAAACCAAAAAATTGAAAAATATAGAGTGTTGCATTTAAATTAAAAAAGTTGGTGTTGGTTACTGTTACATTATAAAAAGTTTTTGTTAAAAAAACTGCGCAACTAAAAATACGTTTTTCCGAACACGCCCCCTATTTATTTATTTCCGAATTTATTCCATTTGGCTAATCCATAGTGTATATTGATATTGAGGCGGGTTTTGTGTACGCTCCTAATCATTGTCAACTTAGGAATGGTGATCTGTGCTTTTATCAATAAATAAGCTACTCCATATCAATTTTTAAATTGGTTTTGTAAAATAGCATAGGATTTTTACTTCCCTTCATAAAAAGGAAGTACCGTAGAACGGGGTCGTTTGAAAATATTGGATTTACTTAAAAACATGTAAACAAAGCTTCATATACTGGTGCTGCCGCCAAACGGTTTAATTTAGGACCACCAACGGTTGAAAGTCGACTAATAAAGCAGTCTTTCGACAGCGTGTGTACATAGTGGGTGTCTAAATTGCGACTTACGCTTTTCGTGGAAGACCTTACAAATATAAGGGGCTACTTGAAAATAATGATGCGAACATACAAAAGGAAGGTGGGGAGCAGGCCATATCGAAATTACAGTGAAGAGGCACTGAATGAGGCTGTAGCAAGATATGAGCGTGGAATTTAATGTAATTAAGTGAGGAGTATGGTATACCTTATGTAAACATTATATAGAAAAATTAACAACTGTCAAAAAGGTTATCTCAGTCTATTAAGTAAAGTCGAGCCAAAAGACAATTAACTCTTATTTTGACAACTTGTCTAATGTTCTTGAAAATGTGCCTCCCGAAGCAGTGCTCAATTACGACGAAAGCAATTTATCGGATGAACCAGGGCGCATCAAAGTAATTGTCTGAAAGCAATCCAGAAGAGTTGAAAAAATCATGGATACATCAAAATCTTTCGACATCCGTTATGTTTGCCTGCTCTGCTGCATCTGGAATATTGCTACCTCCATACGTCGTCTACAATTCGGACCATTTGTGGATGACTTGAACAGAGGGTGGACCTACCAATGCACGATATAACAGAAGTCGCTCTGGATGGTTCGATTTCAATCTATTTGAAGACTGGTTTTCTAAAATTGCAGTTCCATATTTTAATTCTCTACCTCCTGGTCGAAAAGTTTTAATAGAAGATAACTTAGCTAGCCATATCTTCATCGGTGTTATTAACAGTTGTGAAGAGAAAATTATTTGCTTTGTTTTGCTACCTCCTAATAGCACCCACTTATGCCAGCCTTTGGACGTAAGCGTTTTCAGACCAATTAAAATCAAATGGAGACAAATTCTGAGAGTTTGGAAGAAACACAATAAAGTGATTATAAGGAAAGATATATTCCCTAAGCTATTAAAGCGATGCCTGGAGAGTGTAGTGAAAACAATATTAGTTCTAGATTCAAAGCAACTGGCATAGTGCCGATTAACTGCCAAAAAATCCTCTCTAAACTTCATAAAGATATTGACGGTACGGCACAAGCAGAAAATATGTTAGGAGAGACTAATAAAGAACTGTTTCAAGAGTCGAAATTTGGAAGAGCAGGAACATCCAGTGGAGGGCGAAAAAAGAAATTGTCAGTGAAACCTGGCAAAAGTATTCGCCAAGAAGATATTGAACATGTATCGTCCACGCAAATCTCAAAAAATAAACCAAAGGCAAAATTAAGAGCTATGAGAGGATAACGTCTGCCTACTGGGTCCGCTAAATTCTATATAAATTAAAAAAAAATAGTTAAGTTATTTTGTGAAGGTGTTGGCATACTGAAATTAAATATTGTTTCGGCAGAAATTTTCTTGTAAGGGTAGAATATTATAACGGGATCTCAGACTATATTACTTTAATATAATCGAAATCTAATTAACAAATCTACTGAAGCAAAAGCTTACCGGTTCATCAAAAAGTTCTTCGAATCGTTTTTGTGGAGATTTCCCCTTTTTGGATCGGACCAAGATATAAATTTTACTAACGTCACATGTTCTTAATAATTTTTCCATAGCTAATTTTCCTAAAAATCCTGTAGCTCCTGTAATGAATACCGTGGATCCATGATAAAAGTTCTTGATATCACTGTCGTCCTCTGGAACCAACATATCGGAAGCAGTAATATCTGCTCCTTCTCTTTCGACGTGTTCATGTTCCAGCTCAACTCCTTCCATTTTGTTTTTCTTGATAAATTCTGAAACAAAAGATTGAAATTATTTAATGAGATATATGAAGTAGAATGGACTCTAATAACGAATCGAAATTTTTAATCCTAATTACGTAGTAAGTCTTTATTTTTTTAAGAATACCTGCATGTATCTGTTGAATTATGCATTTAGAAACTAATATTGAATATTTTTCGCGCACAAAAGCAGCTAATAGCATAAATATACATGGTTACGTTATCAAATATTATTCCGGAAAGGAAAATATTTATGTTTTCTTCTTGTAAAGTGTAGATAGTTACAGTGATTAGTTTTTATTTTTTTTTTATTTATTTTTTAGTCGTCTTGTCTAATCTCATATGACAGTTTCAAACTGATATATACGCAATCGGAGGATTTAAATTGGTGGTTATAACAATTTAATTTTTAAGGGTAAAATGTTCTTAATAAAAACTTTCACCTTACGTGGTATTTAGAAAGATTATTTAATAATGTAAACAGAACTTTTATAAACAACATTTGCTTTGTTTCCATAAGACCAAGTCGATTATGTATTTAAACTGTAGATTTTAACACACAAAACGCTTTAGTTACATTTTTCTTCACCTTTTTGACTAATTTTACACTGACAATTCGCATGAATAATTGATATGTTGTTACCTTGGTAATGAATTTTTTAAATCCAATTTTTATTGGGTGAAAACACTGCAGTATGCATTATTTTCAAATACTTGTTTTGATTGGTGCTTGTTGGAATAAAAGACCATGGTCATTAATTAATGTATTGTAGTGTTAAATAATCATATGAATGTTTAACTTCTTTACCAAATGGTATTCGGAAATCTTTCTCTCAATTTTGAAAGAATTTGTTCCATTCAAAAATATTAAGAGTAGGGTCCGATTACAATTAGAATAACACCGCTATGTCATAACCGTTACTTCGAATTTCGAATCATATTATCTATATAAATAAGGTATAAAACAATATTTTTTATATTCCTAGTAGGCGGCGATAATCAATTAATTACTTTTTCAAATGATGTAATCGGACCATACGCATTATTGAGACTTTTCGTCAAAGTGTTACTGATAATACCAAACGACAACAGGAGTTGAAGACAGACGATCATCTTTAAAAACTTTTCTTTTTTTGTTATTATCTTTTATTAAATTAAAAGTTCATGAATATTAAAATGGTTGGGTTCGTTTATTTTATAAATATGAAGTTTAAAACCCATAGTTAGTGAATACAAATACCTTGGTTTAGTTATAGATAAAAAACTGCTATGGACCAATCATATAAAATATATAAGGCAAAAGTGTGATAAGGGGACTTAATCTTCTACGTGTAGTATCCAAACATCGCCATCACATTTTATGGATCTTATATTCGTTCTATACTGGATTATGGATGTACTCTTTATGGATCGACGTGTAATTCAAATTTATTATCTGTAGATCGTATTCAATTTTAAGCCTTAAAAATATGTTAAGGGGCTATGGTATCGTCACCTAATCATTCCATTCTTGCTGAGGCACAGGATCCGCCTCTGTGCATTCGAAGAGAATTTTCCGTTCTGCAGGCTATTGATAGCCCTTTCATAAGTCAAAACAAAAACGCGGTAATATTATCCATTAAAAAAATTATATTTAATCTTAATTAAACAGTGTAGCGTTAAAGTTTCCTTGGTTTGGGTTAAAGGACATTGTGGCATTGCAGAAAATGAACATGTGGATAGGGCTGCTAAAGAAGCATGTATTTTAGAACAAATTACATTATTTTGTAGTTTTATAGATATTATTATATATATTTATAAAAAAGATGTAAGAAAAAAATGGGAAATTAAATACACTGATCATGCGAAGGCATCACAAAGTTACTATTATAGTATACATCCAAATATTCCTAAAAATATTCGTTACATCAGTTCATGGAACTATAATAAATATCAGTCATCTATAATTACTTGTTTGAAGCTCAATCACGGCCGATTCCCTGCACATTTATGTAAAATTGGAATATTGGATTCTCCCTTTTGTCCATATAGCAATATAAACGCTGTAACAGATATTAATCATATATTTTTAGATTGTAATAAAAATGCATAATATAATTAAATAAATTTTTACTGCCACTTCCACTCAATATTTCTTCACTTTTAGTTCAATCAGATAGGATGATTTTTGACGCTATTATTAAATTTACTCAAAATACTAAAATAGATATTTAACATAATATATATGAAAATTATTGAGTTTAAACTTTCTGTGGTAAATATACTTGCATGTCTGATGCCATCCCATTAATAAAAAAAATAGATACCGTCATCTGGGGTGAATTCGGACAGTAGTGGAGAACTCGGACACAGTGATTTTTCTTGTCGGTAGCGGTTATCAAATTTTTAAATTAGTAAACAAGTATAGACGTAGTTTATGTGAGTGAAGTATAAACGAGCTAATTTGATAGTATTTATTTCATGGCTTTTATGATTTGTTTTACCTTTTTTCAAAACTTTAAAAAGAAACTGTTGTGAAGAAAATTAAAAAATATTTCATTGTGGTATTTTAAAAAGTATTCTATAAACAACAATTAAGCATGAAAACATTGTAAAATTTGACGTTGGTGTTTGGTGGAGAGGGTTAATTAAAAAAAATTATTCATAGGTGGGGTGATCTCGGACAGCCATGCCTCGTAGATATAGGAAGAAACTTGGTATTAAGTATATAAACTATTCGCCAATGACCTTGCAACTCGCTTTAGATGTTCGACAGGGCAGAAGGTCCATTCGTGAAGCTTCACAAAACTATAAAATTCCGAAATCAACAATTAGCGACAAGCTAAGAAACATGCACACAGTAAAAAACAAGGTCCCTATCGGCAAAAGATGAAAGATTTTTGTCAGATGGGATCCAGAAATTTAGTGAATGGGGCTTTCCACTTACACGATCCGATATAAAAAGTCTCGTTAAGAACTATTTTAATCGCAAGGGAATCAGGATAGCAAAATTGCAGGATAATATGCCAGGTGATGATTGGTTTGATCGGTTTTTGGAAAGAAATGATCGTCCGACTGAGTGACTGACACAAAACATTAAGCATGTTAAGGCAGTCGTAAGTAGAAAAATTATTGTGGAATATTTTTCAAATTTGAGGGAGACGTTAGATGTAGTGCCATATACAAATATTGTGAATTATAATGAAACAAACATAAGCGATGACCCAGGTCGTGTTAAGTTCTTGTGTCGAAAAGGGTCAAAACGAGCTGAGAGAATAATGGATTCGAGTAAAAGCAGCATTTCTATCATGATGGCCATTTCTGCATCTGGCCAACTACTACCGCCTTATACCATGTATAAGGCAACACACCCATATCCATCATGGGTGGAAGGAGGAGTAGAAGATGCTTTCTATAACCTTACAAAAAGTGGTTGGTTCGACGGACCGACTTTTGAAGACTGGTTTGATAAGATTGCATTGCCGTATTTAAAAAAGCTCGAAGGACCAAAAGTAATTATAGAAGACAATCTCTCAAGCCTTGTTTCACTACATGTCCTCCAGAAATGCGAAAGATACAATCTAAGATTCATTTTGTTTCCACCCAATTCCACGCACATTCTAAAACCCGTATACGTTGCATTTTTCACTCATTTGAAGAAAAATTGGCGAACAACTTTAACAAAATGGAAAACAAACAATAAAGAAGTTATTTAAAAATCAGAAGTTTCAAGAATATTTTAAAAACTTTAGATAAAAGCAGCAGACCATTAAGTCGGGATTTCGAGCATGTGGAATTTTCCCACTGCATCCAGAGGTCGTATTAAAAAAAAAATCCAGTATTAAGAGATGAGGCTGAAGTTGCTGGTGAATGGTCCCAAACGTTTGTTGGATTACTCAATGATAAGCGAATTGCTGAAGAGCCAGGCGTAGAAGGCACAGGAAACTCAATGTTGCTCCGGGGAAAGCTGTAAAATGTCCCAATAGACAGAACTTTGCTTCGCCATTTGAGTTAAACATCTCAAATGGTGATCACGAAGCAATACATGAAGAAATTGAGAATCACGACGAAGAAGAATGTGAGGTTGACGGTGCAGGTGACACTTTTGTCATAGTTAAATTGACCAACAAAAAATTAACAAAAAACTATGTCGCCTTTGCCAAGGAAGTGATTGATCCTGATATATATTTGGTTCATTTCCTAAGAAAGCACGATTCTTCTAAGATGGGATATTATTATTCTTATCCCCAGATTAAAGATGAAAGTGCAATTGAAAGACACTAATTAATCCTTCTCCACCGATCTGTAAAAGTTTCAAGGGAACGATATCGGTTTATATTTCCAGATAACATAAACACTTCTTAGTTTATAGAAAATATGCAATGTTCCTACTCACACCCAAAGATTTGTTTAGTTTTTTTCATATTTTTATTAAATAATGTGTTTTTCTTTTTTTTTAGTTGGTAGAAAAAGAATTTTGTTTATTGTTTTTGGATAAAATGTCGAACGTTTCTAAAATATTTTGTTTTTCTAATAACCCATGCCCAAAATTTGACCTTCTGCATTTACAGATGTTCCAGGATATTATTTTTTGTATCCGAATATACATCATTGCATTTTATAATTCGATTTCAACCTACAAACAATGAGTGTCCAAAATCACCCTAGACACAGGAGTAAATTCGGACACTATATTATACAGTGTGTCGCATTTAAGATGAAGACACCCCTATATTTTGTCTATCTAAATAAATACAGATTTGAAGTTTCGCACAGTAATATAGGGTAATGGTTCATATTTTTTAAGATACTCAACTGAAATTTAAATATTAAACGCGGCCTACTGCGAATCCACAAACAGGGTCAATTTTTGATACTTTTCTTCGCGTTGGAGATATTAGAAAAAGTTATTTGAAAAAGTTGTTTAGAATATTATTCTAACCCCACATACCAAATTTCATGACAAAATTCGCATTATTAGTTTTTTTATTATTTTTGTCAATACACAAAATTATTAAATGTTATTTTTTTTT